TCCTTAGGGCTGGTAGCAGGATTAAATGCTTTGGGGAGGATTGAGAGGGGATAAAGTTCTGCTACTAGTTCTTAGAAAATGTTTCCTGGAAAACTGCTGTGAGGTGCTTGAGGAGAGTTGGAATGTCTGAGGCCTGATAAGGGCTGCACACCTGAAGTCAGAGGGAAGCTGCTTCTTTCTAGCTGGTGGGAAATGCTGAATACAGGTTGGTAGGTGGAAGTGAATACAACGGATGGGTATAGTTGTTCCTAAGCTCCAGTACTCCTCAGCTCCCACTTATAATGTGGAAAGCTTTACTATACCTATTTGTTGTGTGGTGTATAAAAATGATATAGGAAAATGCTTCCTCCTGTTATAACAGGACCTGAGCTGTAGTAATACTAAGATCCTAGTGAGTTTCACTATGGGTATAATTAYTTATGATGGGCATTGTATGAAGCTGTGCGCTATGGCAGGAAGAAACTTCTAGATGGACAAGTGGGTGTGTGGCTTTTTTTGTTGGTATTGTTGTTGTTTTAAGTACCACTTTAAAAAGAAGTTGCCAGGGTGTTAACTTCTTTGTAAAAATTTCTCAAAAAAAACCTCTAGTCATGATTTATCTTTTGCTTAAACCTTCACTTCTCAGTTTATGTGAAACTTGGCTTTGTCCCCTTCCTCTCCCCTTCCTTGCCAGTGCATAAGGCTTTCTTTTATGTGTGTGTGTGTATGCTTTATATATTTTTTTTTTCATTATTAATATAGGTCTTCAAACTCTGGTCTGTTGTGTTTTATCCCTRAGTCTTTGATTTTCTACCCTATCCTGCCACTACAGTCACTAGTCTCTGGTGTGTTTTGTGTTTCTTCAGGAAAATTTCTTCTTTYCCAGAAGCTGTGGACAAGTTTTTTGGGAATAGCTTCCTCTCTCCCCACTGCCTCTCAACTCTTCCCTTTGTTTCTTTTGCCTGTTGCAGAGAGAACAGGCTCCTCACAATGGCAGCTAGTGGAGGTAGATGTTATCCAGTTTTTTCAGGTGTTCATTACACCTCCAAAATGTCTTTGGTGAACCTCTGGGGGATCTCTTAACAGTGCTTTCAGAAATTGCAACAGACCCCAGGGCACGTGGGTAATTAAGAGTGGAAATAGAGTGTGAGTTCATGTATTGATCAAGAGTATAGGAACCCTCTATCCCTGGCTCAGCTAAGTAACTGGGATAGACCAAAAATTGTCAAGCAGTGGGAGGCATTTTGTTCCTGCTCTGAGACTGGCAAAGAACAACAAAGTGCCATTAACAAAAACTGGCAATTAAATTGGAAAACACTAATTCCCAGGATTAATATTTCAATATATCCCTGCTTCCTATAGTTGGTGCTGATAGTAGCCTTCTTGGTTTCTGGAGGGAGCTTATTTCTTATCTGGAAAAGTAGTAATGAGTATAGAAATAGTGCAGGGAGAGTGACTCCATATTACCTGTCAAGCTGATGATGTAGGTGCTTACCTTGGGCACTAAAAGTAACAACAGCAGAGCTGGTCATTCTAGCTAGTGCATCTTGACTTTGAAGGATATCACTTCCTACTCCTAAAAGTAGATGCTTAAAGTAAGACAAATCAGTTGTGCCCTGAACTATCTTATCTCCTTTATACCATGACTGGAAAAAGATACTTTTCTACTAGTTACAGAAGGAACTGTATTTTTAACAAAACTAAGGATAATTAAATATTGTGAAAACTTGCCCTCTGGGTTTTTGTGGCGGTTTGAAGTGTGGTGGGGGGAGCCTTCGACTTAAGGATATTCCACACAATCTGCCTTAACTCTTCTTGATCATCTGCTGGTTTAAACTTTAGCATTAGAAAAGCTAATCTAGTGCTGTCTGTTGCCCATGGTGATGTGTAGGTGKGAGGAGGAGGAGGAGTAAAGGAAATTCTCCTGCAGAAACTACCTTCTGTGTATGAACAATGTGGATGGAACACATCCAGAATAAGAAACTCTTATCAGAAAACAAGTCTTGTAAACCTGTAGTAATGGTCTCCATCAACATAATCATTTGTGTGACAAGGCAACTCCCTGCTCACATGTGGCTCTTTGCAACATTAGCTTAATCTGAGATCTATTAAACACTAGGAGCATCTTCCTTGGAAAGTGATGGAGATCCTATTGCTCAGAGGCTTTAGCTGCACTGTGGTAAATGAGATAAGTGTCAAAATGGTTTGATGACTTCCTGTGTCGGCAAGTGAGACTTGGAAAGAAACCAGGGTTGGTGGCATGAGTGGAGAATGACCCTTTCAGAAGAACTGCGATATCGATGGAGCTGTCCTTTGCARGCTTGCTTAAATTCAGTCAGAAAATTTGACTTGGTGTAAATATTCCTGCTCCCAGGCAGAAGGAATGCAGACAGGGAAGTCAAAGCCCCTGGAGAATTAAGCTGACATGTGTATTTTTAAATGCCTATATTTGTGAGTATTTAACTCGCATCTGCTCGTTCATATTTGTGAGTATTTAAAAAGCACTGCCAAAAAACTAAAATCTACTAAGGTTAGAAACTTTTTTTTTGGGGGGGAGGGGGGTGTGGAGGAATCAAATGTAGTAAGTATAAAAGTGTTACCCCTTCCTTCCCTATTCTCTAATTCCTAAAATTCTCTAATTTTAGCATTTGCCATGGGATAGATAACTAGAGGTTGGGGTGGTWTGCTTGAAGAAGATTGCTGTTTGCTTCCCTTGATAATATTTTTGCTGTGACAGTGATCAGTAGAAACAAGGTTTGGATTAGATGATGCATCAGGGTGAGCTGTCGTAGCTGCTGTTTGTGTTCAGATATGGATATGCCTGGTTGCGTTCATGAAGGAATGAGAACTGTTGTCTTGATGGGAGCTTATACGTAAAGATGAAGTGTTGTACAATGTAGGCAAGGGGATGGCTTGTGGGGTAGAGAAAAGACATAATTGCTACGCCAAAAAAGGAAGAGAAGTTAAATTTAAAATTAATTTTTAATACAAGAGTAAACAAAAGTATGTGTGACTGGTGGAGCAAAGCTGGCCTTCCATCCTCTAAAGCAGTTCCCTACAGTGTCCTTGAACCAGCTGTCCTGTAGCTGCATGGTTTTGAGTTGTCTACCTGACAAAATTGCTGGGTTTACKTACCAGCAGAAACCTCTTGTTTAATGTTACAACTAAATATGGTCATGATAGACATGGCAAACATGTTTATAAACACTGTCATATTAATTTGCCATCTTCTTTGCTCAAGTAAGAGTGCCATGGTCAATTTATTTGGACATCTTTGCTAGCTAGCCTACAGCTGCAAGCCCAAAACGAAGGAGGTGTTTACCTCTATTTATTCAGTCATAATATTTCAGTTACAGCAATTTTTCTTTTTTTTTCTTTTTTTCTTGCTGGAACAGCCTRCAGTAACTTTTTGATATAAGGCATGAGGATTGCTTTGGGGATCTCGTTCCACAGAGAGCTCCATTAGGCATATTTGGCTCCTCAGATCAAATGATTGATTTAGAAACCTGAAGAGTTTATTATGAGTCCCATCCAATTATGACTTCCTACATTTTTTTTTAGGGGGAGTTGGGGGAAAACAGATTGGTTCTCAGGAATGCTTTATTTTTGGATATAAAGTTCCTGAACGAGTCTAGGAAAGCATCAGGCGCACAAGGYTGGCATTGTGGGCGCCAAGTGAGATGGCACTGCCTTCATCTTGAGCCTGGGCGGAGAGCACGGATTGTTGCTGGGAGCGCAGAGGTGTTAGGGCTGTGACTGCTTTTGTACTGTGTGGGGTTGAGGTTCAGCCAAGGCCTGTACCTGCTGCAGCAGGATGCCTGCATTAATACCCCAGTGYAAGTCTGGTAGTTGGACTGGCTGTGGGGCTGAGAATGCTGAACTCGCTTCATGAAAGGTGTGAGCAGAAGAACAAATGCCACCGAAGAAGACTCTCAAGAAACCTTTGTGAACTTGGTGCTGGATATTTGCCCTGGCCAGTATGTTTGACTATTCTTACCCCCCTGTCAAAGTGGGGATGGGGATGGACAGGCTTTTTGCTGCCTATAGATGGCCAACAGATCACTTCTACCTTCCCCTGTTTACATTTTCTGACTGATGCAGGGCATAAGAATGACTTCTAAAGTAGTCCTYTAGTCACTCTGGAACTATTATTATTATTATTTTTCCCCTTAACCCACTGCACTCTGAAAAATGTGTTTTCTCCCCCTCCCCCAACTCCCTGCCCTCCACTCCCAATTACCACTACTACTGTCCTAATCTTCTAGGTTATTTAGTACTCTTACCCTAAGTCAAATACAATTGCTGGCTCTGATATACTGTAAATGATAATCCAGATTAATTCAGTCTTTCATGAAGAAATGGTTCCTGTTCCAGCTGTAGAGAAATCCAGACCACCCCACAGAAGATACACACATGCACGTACACACACGCACGCGGGCACACAGTATGGAGCATGCCTTGAAGAAACTGTAGCTAACCACCTTATTAGTATTCCTCCCTCCTCTGTGTTTCACTTGCAGCAACAGAGGGCTGAGCAAAATGCAGTAGAACAGGGACAGAGACAGAGCTGGCAATCATCTCAGTGCAGGCTGCTGAATGTAGGGGGTGGGGGAGATGCAGCAAAGCAAGATTAATAACCTTGCCATAATCCGGTGCACCCTGGAAGGAGGTACCTCTGGTGACTGAGCTGTTCTTGTCTTGATTAATTGGACGGAGTGAATGAGTGGCTGGCAGTCCACCTGGTTTGGAGGCGACCCCCAGGTTTTGCTGCTCGCTGAATCCCCTACCCATCTGGGAAGGTAACAGTGAGACGTACCATCTGCAGCACACGCAGCAGCTATTGGAGGCTACCGACAGTTTGCACTACCTTTCTTTTTTTTCTTTTCTTTTTTTTTTCCTCCTCTCCCTGGTGAGCGAGAAGCCAGGTATGTTGTACAGTAGGATATTTCTGTACTCCAGCTACTGAATTTCACAATCTGGTCCTTCAGCTACTCCCCCCCTCCCCCCGCCCCCCCAACACGCTCCCTTTTCCAATTGCCTTGGACTTCTGGGCTTACTTTTGGCATCATCTCCTAGAGGCATTTTGCCGGGGGATGAGAGATCGGTAAATGGAACCTCTGAAAGCTGATTGTTTGGCTTCTGTGTGACTGAGGAGAAAAAGAATCAAGTTCGGACAAAGGAATTAAGTCGTCTTTGAAGAAGTTTAAAGAGGAACGCATACAAAAGGTAGGTCTGGGGGTTTGTCTGCCCCTTCTGTCAACTACCCCGGTCACGCTTGTTTGTTTTAGCTTTTTTTTTTTTTTTTTTTCCCCAAGCCCAAACATAAGTAGTAGGTGTGTATAGTGTGTGTGGTGCATTGCTAAGTTCTGCGTTTATTTTTCTCCCTTTTCTGATGATATGTCATTTGTGAAATAATGATCCATATTGCTGGGAAATRTGGGATAGTGCTGGAAAGCCCTTTTCAGAGCAAAGGTATGACAATTTCTATGGAGAGGATTTTTTTGTTTATTAAACAAGCAGAAATATTTAGAAAAGGCTTAGAATAAGCAAAAAACAAATCTTATGCAATATMTTCAATAGAAATCTCCATATTTTCATAAATCTTCTTTTGTTTTTCCTCTGCATTTGTCTGCTCTGGTATGATGAATATGCAAGTAAAAGCTGCTGCTGTTTTTAGCTGAAGTAGAAGGTAGCAGAATGGAAATTTTAGTGATCCACAAATCCTCATTGTTGTGGGAAGTTTATCTGTCATGCTTCTTGTTAATCTTTTGAAAGCTTTTTTTATTTTTTTTCTTGASACTACAGCATTTATGTAGGGTCAAAATATGTAGGGTCAAAAAATTAAAATTCAAAGGAGACGAGCATGCCAATCGCAAATGAGTTGTTGTTGGCGCTTTAATTCTTGGGATGGAGAGAAATGTGCTAGCAACCAAGTGTTCAGGTGACCTACGTAAATGCCTCATCCAGTGAGGTTCATAGTGCTCTAATAGATCTCCAGGAATATTAATCATAAGTCCATGGTGCTCGGTCCTAAAACCTTCTATGTGTCTTCCCCGTTCTCGCTCTCCCCTGTTACATTTTCTCTCCGGATGTGCGCCCCCCCACCATGCCATTTCTGCAGTAACATTATGATCCTTATGGTGTTTTCCATCTTTCTGTTATTTAGTGGAAATAGTGTAACATTTAATTGCAATGGAATTGGAACTCTTGTAGCTGAGGGTTTCTTTTCTTTTCCTTTTTCTATTACTGCATTGATAGCACTTAGCATTTCCAAGGAGGTAAGGGGGGAAAAATAATGCCTATAAGTATTTTGAAGATGCTTGATTCTCTGGTTGGAATTGCTGAGTGCTTATTCCTTCTCAATTRTGTGAATATATGACTAATATTGGAGTCAAATACATATATAAGATGTATTTGAGGAACTTCTGTATATTTAGCTGGTTTATTTAGAAATGTGCAGATTAAAGTACAGTTCTACTGAGCAGTCAGATCTTAGAGGGGTTTGTGTATGTATGGGGTATGTATGACTGCATATGTAAAGAAAAAAGATGAAGCTGTGCAGATTGTGCATAAATTCCTATTTCATGTGTTCCTGCAGTTGATCTATTCAGCATAGTGTAATGAGCTTTCTCTGTAATAGATCCTGTGTTGTAAAGCTAAAAACTTAATGAAAAGACTCTGCTTTGGAGTAATGAAATCACTTACRTTATTGCATCCTGTCAGTCAGTTTTTGCCTGCCTCTGGTTTTGCATAATAGCTTTAGARGGGGGATTAAGGAAGAAAGGAGAACTGGGTATAGGTGTGTTTCCTGTCCTTTTCTGCAAGTGATCTGCTCTCCTGCATGTAGTTTTACTCTGATTATGACAGACAAATCTCTCTGGCCAGGATGCTGTTGGACATAGTCTTGCCCTGACTCTACTCTGTACTTTCCTCAAGCCTTATCATAGCTCACTGGGCAAGGAGCTTTATTTTTATATTTTTCCTTTTAAACTATAGGTAATAGTTTGTRTGTAATACAGCCCATGTGCTCTTCAGAACCTCACTCCCTGCTTAGACATGAAGCAGGCAATGAAGCCATTAAAGCAGAGACACTGAGTGCAAGAAAGGAAGAGGGAARCATTCTGCCTGAGAACAAGGAAACTTCTGTGCAAAGAGCAGACATACTTGCTCCACTAGTAATCCCACATATACTGATGTAAAATATAACTTATTGAAGTGTTCCCCAAGTATTGCCCCATTCCCTAAACTGTGGGGGAAGGGAGTCATCTGTATGATTCAACTAAGAATGCTGACATCTAACCTTGGCTGAGACAACAGGAAAAAGTTCTCTTGGTATGTTGTCAAGATAAAATTAATCATCCTTCTTTGACCATCAAGCCTGCAGGAAYGATACCAGGTGGTGGATTTTTATATAGTGTTATTTGTTTATATACAATGGTACATATTTAGTAGACTGAATAAGCCTCCCTAGTGCTTCTGTGTCTCATTCTACCCAAATACTTTTTGGTTGTTTTGGTAGACTTACTGGAAAGAACCTTACATAGATTTCAGTTCTGATTTCCTAGGTATGATTCTACTTTTTCTATCTGTCTCTGTGTGTTTTATACACAATCTATATAWCATGTTACCATTTAGGAAACTAACATTGTTCCTGTAATTTCTTCTTGCCTTGTAGCARGAATGGAAATAAACAACAATATATTTATGCAGGAAAAAAAGCTTTAGCAGCAGTTGTGTGTATAAGAAGAACCATTCTTAAAAACGTTTTTATCACACTTTGATACTTGTTCTAGGAAGCATTCTCTTTCAACTGCATTTCATGAGTGGGATTGAAGGGATGTGTGGTGTTACTGTCAGGCAGGGAGTGCTTCATGTTCTGTGCACGGTTTGGGGGCTCCAGGAGCTTCTCTCACTGTTGTACATCTTGCTGGAATTGTGAAGAACTTGGAAAGCTCTTGTGCTGGACATTAATAAGGAAACTTTCTAAGCAGAAATGTAGGTACAGTGAGAGTCTCACTGGATGAGCTGGATTAAATAAGAACATGCAAGATTTAAAAAAAAAAAAAAAAAGAAAGAAAAAAAAGAAAAAGAAAAAGTTGAACCAACAGCCTTTTCTCATGGTTCAAATTAGCCTAATAGGTGCTATAGGTGCTAAGGCTTTTCAGAACATCTTTTTGTCTACCTAAGACAGGGCACTTCACGCATTCCTCCTTCCATCTGAAACAACATGGTCTGATAGTTGGTAAGTCAATTTTAGAGCCCTACGTGGACCGTAAGGGGAGRAGGTAGAGAGCAATTCCAAGACTTGAACCAAAAGCACAAGCTCTGTGTGGTGACTGAGTACATAACTCTCTGCTGACTCATCACTGTTAGTCTAGAATATCCCATTAAGTTAGTGTTAGCCAGACATTAAGTCTGGCTTTGATATAAGCAGCTGGAAAAGCTGTTTATAAGTAAACACACACGGCTTGAGAATATGTACTTCTCCAATGGCAGGCAAGATGAACAATAAATTCCTGTGGGGACAGTTGGTTTTCTTAGAGATTTAAGAGAATTAATGATAATTGAAATGTACTACTCTTGGACAGGGAAGGGGTACAAACATACCCCTTCGGTTGACCAGTTGATTGAACCCAAGATTTTATTGCTCCTTCCTCTCTCGCTTCCCTTTTCATGTAAGGGCTTCAAGCGTGTAAGGGTCTTGGACACAAAATTCACATTGTGGACTGAAAAACAATCATGTTGCATCAACTCAAAATTTCTAAGCAACAGATTAATACTGACTAGCTGCCACCCATGTACCTACTTGAAAGTGTGAAAATGAGRTTTGTGAGATGATTTAAATTCTTGTCTTTCTAAATGTTTTTGGTTGCTTTGGTTGTCTTAAAGACACCTTGTGCTGCTTTCTGCTATCCACACTTCCATAGATTGGAGGTGTCTTAGAGTTCCTTAGGCTTTTATGAAATTAATGCATGCTCTTGTTTAGAGTTATAATAAATACCTGAGAAAACATTAGCTTTCGGCAGCAAAGTCAGAGCTCAAGAAAGAGAGTGTCAGCGTGGCACATGGATGCAGGCATTTGCTTCTAGGGGCTGTTTGTTCAGGTTGTTAAGGCATAGTGATATTCTCCAAGTTAACAATCAGGTGCTTGGTGAGCTTGTTGAGCCTTCTACAGGTGTTTCCTTGGGCTGAGGAGGAAGTTTCCTATTTCTGCAATATCTAAACCATCTTTGTACAAAGGCTGTGATGCAAGAGCTCTTACTGCTGAATTTAGACTGGTTTCATAAGAAATAGTACTGTTGATCCTGCAGAAGGATGGTAGGCAGAGATTTCTTGGAAAGCTGAAAACTTGCTTTCTCAGAACATCCACAGCCTAGGCAATTGGAGCAAGGAATTTAGGTCTTTTAGCAGTATCTACCAGGGKATGGGGGAAAAGGCTTTTGAAATAGGCAACACCTTTTCTCGAACTTGCTGTTTTCTATGTAGTTGGCCAAAAATGATAGCTATTCTGTTTGTACTTTCTGTATTCCAAGAGTTAGTGGAAACAGTGTAAAACAAGACTGATTAAATCAGGRCACAACTGTAAAAATGAAGGGCTTACATCAGTATTGTTTTGACACAGATTTACAGTTTAGGAACTGTGACAGGGAGGGTTTCTATTAGGTCTGTTAGTCTCCATACTTCAGCAACTTAATTTACCCCACTGAAATGACATCTTTAATGTCAAGTACTCATCATGCCCAGTGCKTATTGGTAGTTAGAGGCTGGCTGATCCGGTTCAGCTGTTCACACTGAGTGCAAGAACAATGTTGTGTAATTGCTCAGTTTGGCTCCTATAAAATGGCTGAACTGTTTCAAGGCATAGACATGGGGAAATGAGGCTACCTGGTTGTATTTAATTCCCAGTGGGAGCATCTTACTAACTGAGAAGACTTTCTCCTATGGCTGAGCAATGTAACAGGGATCTGTTTCCCACTTGGGTGTGTTGTCAGTTCCATTTTGGGGGGTTTACACATTCCTGCATACGTGTATGCATGAATTTACAAATGCAAGAAGTGGATCATCGGCTGCTTGGACTACTTTGGTGTTTCTAGATAAAAAACAGGTAGAAGTAGACAGAAAAATAACAGGGCARTAACTCTGAAGATGAAGCTCTTTATAAGCTTGCTTGGGTAACAATGCAACTTGTACRGGTTGCACATCAAAGAAAACATGCAGTTTTGCCT